TACAATGCTAAAAAAGAAACACAAGTATTGGCGGTTTCCATGAAATTCAAATTTAAGTGAACGTTCTGGATTTTAGCTGGTGACCCTATCCCGAGTGGACACTTCAATGCAAGGTTTACGACTCTTCTCACATTGGGGAATAGAATCAGAATAGCTGGGCATGGTGAGGCATTCCTGCAATCCCAGCACTTTTGGAAGGCTGAAGTGGGAAAAGTTCAAGTCTAGCCTCAGTAAATAGTGAGACCCTGTCTCCAAAAAGAAATGAGACACACACAAAAACACAGGATCCCCACTACATGTATACAAATGCTTGCCTGAAGTGATGAGTTATATATTTAAAAAGTCGTGCAACAAAATTACAGTAGACACAAAGCTGTCATTTTCACAATATTTTAATTCTGTTCTGAAATCGATCTACAAATATCTCTACATAACACCCAAGCCAGTGATTAATAAATAAGAGGAATGTATATATTGCTTTGCAAAAAAATAAGCCCGATACATTTTCCTAAATTTGTAGAGTCAGTTTCTAAGGCACACGCACGCACGCACTCACCCCACTATGCTCAAATCAAAAGGCTTTATATGGTGTCCAACTAAATCCTATATAAAATTTATACCAGAGACACAAAGCGTGAGCTCAGTCACGAGTACACTGCTGGCTGTGGGTACCACACCTCACAGTCTCCAGTTCAGAACAGGACAGTAACTGCTAAGCAGGGTTGTAACTGTGCGCTGGTCACCATCACAAGAAATCAATTTGATTGCACGGTGTTCAGATGTAACACACATGCGGATCAAACTGGAACTACGATGAAACTGGTGACTGCAAAGAGACACTGGGACCCGTGGCCATTAGCTGCTACCGGCTTTCAGCAGACAAGGCCCACGAGAGGCAAACTGGTTCTGGTGTACATCCCACTCATCACTAAGGGCGAAACACAGAAGAATGACACCTGTCACTAACACCTTGTGCTGCTGGCTCTGCAGGAGGGATTTTGAAGGCTCTGTATCAAATCCCAAAAAAAAAAAATCTGTAATTCTATCATTCACAAGTGAGGAGCAAGAAATCCAACTACTCAGATGGCCAGAAACAAAAATTTAGCAGAAAGGTGGCATGGTTTAAAAGGAAAGTCTGGGGCCTGGGACCAGGCTCAGGGATAGAACACCAGGTTCAATCCCAGCGCCTAAAAAAAAAAAAAGACTACGAGGGAACAGTTGACACCAGGAGTCTTGGGAAGTCCTTCCAATGTAACATGGATGGCAAGAGCTGGCCTTCCAGTCAAGTCAGGGATTCAGAGCCCATCAGAGAGACACTATCAGATATCTACTGATGAATGGATGGTATTTATCAAAGCTGCCTTAAGAAGCTGGGTGCTGTGCTCCACGCCTGTAATTCCAACCTTCAGGAGGCTGTTGCAGGGGGATCTGGAGTCTGAGGCCACCCTGGGCTACAAAGTGAGACCCTGTCTCCAAAAAATAAAAGCAACAAGGATTGCAGAAAGGAAGCAATTCAGGATACTCTCTAGCAGCACCTGTATCTTTAGACTCTGAACTGACTCTTGGACCTTATTTTTTTGGCAGTACTGGGGTTTGAATTCAGGGCCTTGAGCCTGCTAGGCAAGCACTCTACCACTTGAGCCACATCTCTAAGCCCTTCAGGCTTTCATTATTTTTCAGGTAGGGTCCTGTGTTTTTGCCCAAGCTGGCTTGGATGGCAATCCTGCTTCCCACATAGCTGGGATGACAGGCACCTGCCACTACGCCAGGCTTATTTGCCAGCCTGGTCTCAAACTTTGATCCTCCTGACTGCCATGCCCTCAGTAGCTGGGATTATAGATGTGAGCCACTGTGCCTGACAACGGCCCCCCTTCCCCATTTTGAGACAGGGTCTTGTGTAGCCTAGGCTGACCTGCAACTTACAACCTTCCTGCCTTGGCCTCCCAAGTGGTGGAATTCCAGACCTGCCACCACACCTGACTTCTTGAGCATACTATTCTTAACCCCTCTGACACCATGCTAAATACAGGGCCCAATGAGTGACCACAGTGATTTACACTGGTCCCAGCAAAGCAAGCCTATCCCACCCCCCATCTGTGCTCATGGCCCAGGTGGCCTGCTGTGCCCCTTGACTTTGGGGACCTGTATTACAAACCTTCTAATGGCTTCACCTGTCAGGGTTGTCACTCAGTCACCTTTATGAATATGGACCCAGGTATAACTCAAGGCCACCTTTCAGGAGATTGGTGACTACTGTTAGCAGAAGTGATTGGTGAGGGGACACAGAGCGAAAGGACCCCCAGGCGGGCCCTGGAGACCCGAACCGCAGAGTGCAGTCAGAAGATGGGCCGGCACGGCATGACAGTCTTTGCTTCTATGGCGAGGAAGAGGTCACTCTGCATGGCAGCCACAGTGTGGCCACACAAAGCCAGCTCCTCGCTCTGTCCTGTGCTCCATTCTCAGTACAGTGGGTGTTTAACGTGACACAGAAGCACGGAGAATTAACACTGATTAATGTCTTAAAAACTGATCCTTGATTGTCACAGCTCCACAGCAGTCCTCAAAATGTTCTTATATCATTCTGTGAAGTGTTGACGGATATACCTTGAAGATATAAAAAAGGTTTCTCTTCAAGGTGTGAGATACGCTACAAAAATACATTTTCCCACGTACAAAAGAGAGAGCAAAGAAACAGATGGTGGGGAGGGCAAGCGTTCCACAAACGTCCAGATTGGAGAAAGAAAGACAAACGTCCCTAAGTCCCCAGGGTTAAGAACGGGCCCCAACAACGGGAAAGGTACCCAGCAAACACGGTTCAGTTTTCAAACCCAGCACCTGAGATTTCTACCACAATGCATGTCGTGCTGGGCCTGGCGGGGAGCTCTGAACTTACAGTTCAGTCTTTCTTTCAAAATCAAGGCACCCAGAAACAAAGGCTTCATCACTGCACTTTTCAGCTGTACGACAGCTCAGAACCTACACTTGCCAAACTGGACAAAATGGTGCCTATTTCATTTTTCCACCAATTTTCATGATGTCAGTCTCAATCCACCAGCACCCACACACGCGTGCCTCCTTCAATCACCAGAAGTTGAAACGACCGTCCTGTCTCCGTCTCAGTAGAGCAGGGGCCGTCACCTTCCAGGTAGGAGGTGGGGAGGAATGGCCTGAGTATCCCTTCAAGGACAGGGAGGGACAGGCAAGAGCCTTGAGAGGGCAGGAATCACTGGCTTTGCGCACAGAGCACCAACTGTCCCCAGCCAAAGTTTGCAAAGCCATTTTTTGGTTCCTAAACACAACAAAGCCAGGTACACGAGAGGACAGGGCCACTGTGACCTACCACAGTCATTTACACCGTGACATTGACAGAATCTGTACAGTAAGACTGCAATGAATGAGTTTCAACTCCCATGAATAACAATTTGCTTAAGCAAGGCCTGGACCCAGGTTCTAGAAACTTTTTCTGAGATACCTGTGTCCATTGCCCAGGCACTCACAACTTCACAGACACACTTGTGCCCAAGAGCTGGCAATGCTAAGTTCTGCCCAGGCATCAGACGCCTGGACCACCACACGGCCTTGGTTCTCTCACCCACTAGCGTGCAGGGCTGGGAGTGGCTCCAGGTCCTGCTGCCCAGATATGGGGATGATCACAGGCCTTCAGTTTCATCCCACAGAAATGGGGCTTTCTTTCCTGATAGGTTCTAGCAGGCAGCTCTTTCCTTCAGTCCCTCGTTCAAGTACTGCCCAGGGCCACCTCACCCATCCACCCTATGGACACCACTCTGCCCCTAGAGACCACCTAAAATGAGGATCCATTGGACTTTAACAAAAAAAACCACCCAGCACAGGTACTAGGGTAATTTCAGAAGCCTCTCCAGGGTATAGCTTTCCTGTGGGCCTAGCTGAAAAACAGAAAAAGTGGACATCAGCTAGATTCCAGAATGTTCTTCAAGCCTTACCCAGGTAGCTCTTAGCATCAAACCCCAGACATTCTTCTTTTTGGGGACTGGGGTTTGAACTCAGGACTTTGTGCTTACGCAGCAGGCACTCTACTGCTTAAGCCACACCTCCAGCCCATTTTGTTCTAGCCTCGAGTCTCGATCCTCCCAGTCTCAGCCTCCCAAGTAGCTGGGATTCAGGCATGAGCCACTGATGCCCAGCCCCAGAGACATTTCTTAGCCCTGTCCTTCCATACTGTTCCTTCTGGAAATGCTGAGGTTGAACACGTGGAATTGGGCTGGAGGAGTGGCTCAAATGGTAGAGCACCTGCCTAGCTATCATGAGGCCCTGAGTTCAAACCCCAGTACCGCCAAAAACACAGTTTAATAAAACACATCAAAGTATAGCGGGGAGAGAAGTCAGGGCTTTACCAATAACGAGTTCTTCCACTGAGAAATACAACAGATGGGATGTGGACAAATTCCCAGGATGGGAAAGAGGTTCAAGTTCCCTCCGAAGCCCTACCTACCGTCCACAAGAAGACAGGGCAAGAGCGTTCGCAGACGAGGCCGACACCAGCCCCAAGTCACTTGGAACACCAAGGTGGCGCACAGACCGCGCCCGCCACTTCTTCCTCTGCGAAAACCAGTGCTGGCGTTGCAATTTTCCTAAAAACGTCAGCTGGGCTGATTCCTCCCTTGAATGTAAAGTTCTAAGAAACTCAACTCCATCCACCTTTATTTAAAAATCTTACAAAAAGATGTATTTCAATGCTTGAAAAAATTAACTTTTTGTTCTATGCACAGATAAATTTCTCTCGCTGTCCAGCTAACCTGGTCATCTCCTCTGTGTAAAAAACACGGTCCCTGCTAATGACCCTCGCGCGTGGGTCTAGGAAACCATCTCTCGCTCTTCTCTACGGGTCCTAGGGTTGGCACAAGGCGGGAAAAGCCCTCACCCAGCGCTGCTTTCTGGCTCAGTGCTTTTATTGGGGTTGTCTGGGGTTCAGTGTGGTTGCTTTCTTCTTCTTCTGCCTTCTGAGAGTGGGAGCTGGTGCCCGGGGACCCGGCCGGGCACCTGACCTTCACTTGTCCTTGGGACGGTCTAGGCTCTCAAGCACCCTGTTGAGGCGGATGTTGAGCAGTCTGACCTGGCTCTCCAGGTGCTCCAGCTTCTCCTCCACGCTGGGGCTGCCGGGGCTGCCCGGGCTGCCTCGCCAGCACACGCCCATGGGCCCTGTCATGAAGTAGATGGCGACCACCAGGCACAGCGGCAGCACGGCGTTCTCAGGCTCACCCTCGTACTTGTGCAGGATGTACACACAGGACATGGAAAACAGCACGACCCGCACCAGCCAGAAGAAGCGGCCAAACACCAAGTGCAGGACGTGGAAGGTGAAACCCAAGGTCAGGGACAAGAACCAGTAGGCCAGGAGGACGACGCCGACCAGCAGAAGGGCACGAGCAGGGCTGTTGGACACTGAGGCTGGGCTGAAGTACTGGGACAGATTGGAGACTGCGAAACAGAAGAGAGACAGGACTGGTTACTTCCACGGGCCCAGGGCAGCTCAGCTCACAAGGCCTTGGCCACAACTCAGGGAACCAGAGTGAGATGCTCCGAATCTCCAAGCTAGGCCCTTTACGACTGCATGTCATGAGTTCAAAACACCTTTTGAGAGCAGCATGGTTATGCACACCTGTAATCCTAGCACTCAGAGGCAGGAGGATTGTGAGTTCAAGAACAGCCTGGGCTACACAGTGCAGCTGTGTCTCAAAAATAAATAAATGAAAAATCTTTCACAGTGGGGCAGAGTCTGTAAATTGTTCTTCAATTTCCACAGTAATAAATGTGCACAGGAGCCCAGGATAAAGGAATTTCCCCAGCCTCCCTTGCGGCCATATAACTAAGTTTTGGCCAAGGAGAGGTAAGTGTAAGTTTTCTGTAAAAGTAGTAGGCACTTGTCCTTTGCCTTCTCCTCTTTCTGCCCACTGGAATGCAGATGCACTCAGAGCTAGAGCAGCCATCTTGGGCCATGAAGGGAAGTCACCATGCAGGAGCAATGAAACGGAAGGTGCCTCGGTCCCAAAGACGACGTGCAGCAGAGCCACCGCACCTGCCTGACCACGTCTGTGAGCTTTCATGTACTTGGAAGTGTTCCACCTCGGCTAAGACACATTTATTTATTATGGGTCTCTGTTGTTGACGCAGTCTTGTGACAAGAATGAAATGGAAGAGTGGCAGCTTCTGTGTGCCCGAGCTGGGGAAATGCCACACAGGACATCTAAGAACCGCAAAATAAATATTCCTTTCAAAGCCATCTCTAGGAAGCCTAGCAAGTGCAAAGCCCTGGTTCAAACCCAACTCGGTTAAACAGTTACTAAAACTGGCCAATGTGGCTTTCTTTATTGATGTACTTTCCCGAGTCAACCCATCTGAAAGATGCACGTATGTTTCAACAGTTTCTTTCTTTTTTTTTTTGTGGTGCTGGGGTTTGATTTGAACTCAGGGCCTTCACCTTGAGCCACTCCACCAGCCCTTTTTGTGACGGGTTTTTTTGAGATAGGGACTCACAAACTATTTGCCTAGGCTGGCTTCAAACCACGATCCTCCTGATCTCTGCCTCCTGAGTAGCCGGGATTACAGGTGTGAGCCACCAGCGCCCAGCTCAAGAGGTATCTTTTAAGAATAAAGATATCACTCCCCTGAAAGCCATGGCACAAAGTTGGGTGTGGTAGCTCACACTATAATCCCAGCTATTCATGAGAGCAGCAGTTTAAGGCCAGCCATGGCAAAAAGTCCTCGAGTCCCCATCTCAACCAATAATAGCTAAGCATAGTGGCACGTGCTGGTCACACCAGCTACCAGGGAAGGGGGAGGTGTAAGAAGGAGGACTGCAGTCCAGGCCAGCTGCAGGCACAAACCTGAGACCCTGTTTGAAAAACAGCTGAAGGAAAAAGGGCTGGAAACGTGGCTCAAGCAGTAGGGCGCCTGCCTTTGCAAGCACAGGCCCCGAGTTCAAACCCCAGCACTGACAAAGAAGAAAACCGCACGTTATGACTCCAGCAGAGCGCCTGAATTCCCAGTTACCCAGGGTTCCGTTTCTCACGGTCTCCTCCCCACCCTGACCAGGACCCAGGGACGCTCGTGTGGCATTGCTTTGGTATCCCTAGTCCATTTAAACAATAAACAATCGTTATTCCCCAATTCCTATGGGTCTGGAATCTGGGTACAGCTAGCTCTACACCCCTGAATGAGGGGCTCACCAGGTTGCAAGGTGTCGCTGGGCTGCAGTCAACCCAGAGGTCGAGCAGGACAGAAATGGCCTCCAGGGTCATTCATGGTGGGTGGCAGGTCTCCAGCCTTTGACGGCTGATGTTGAGAGCTGTCAGATTTCAAGGACTGGGGACTGGGGACTGAGTGCATCGGTGGTACAGCACTCATCTGGCACGTGTGGCCCTGGGTTCAGATTTCAGACAGAATTTTCAGAGTGGGGATGCTCAATCTTTACCTGAGAAATGGAAGACACTTCAGTAATAACTCATACTGACTACAAGTTGAGAAGATGTCGTACAGATGACTGTATCAGAATAGTGGATTAACGAAAACACCTCATCACAATTCATGTCACCAATCTCTTTACTTTAAAGTGACTAACAGAAATAAATCTCTTCTGCTGCTGTCTGTTCAACAAAACCTGCAGTTTTTATCATGTACTTCTTCCAAAACTGAAAATATCAAGTCCCACTGCTAAGGAGACAAAACAGACAGACATAAAATTGGAGATCCTGACCCCCTCATCTTCTTTTATTTTTTTTGTGATATTAGGGTTTGAACATCCTCCTGATGTCTGCCTCCTGAGTAGCTGGGATAGATTACAGGCATGAGCCACGGGTGCCCAGCTTCCCCCTTGTCTTAAAGTCACAGACCAGGGAAGGAAGTGCAGTGGGACAAGAACCAGGCTGGCCTCAAACTTGCCTTCCTCCTGCCTCTGCCTCCCCAGTGCTGGGATTATAGCTGTGCACCACCACACCTGGCCCCTCACGTTCCCTTCTACTGGACTTCTCTGGCCTAAGGAGTCTCCATTGGAACCAGCACCCCGAAGAATCACGAAGAAGAAAATGAGCAAACTGGTCTGGGAAAGCATTTGTACCGGCTGTCCACTGTTGCTATGGTTTCTAGGGAAGCATTTTGCACTCAAACTACTGAGCAAATGACACAACCTTGGAAGTACAGGCACTGACTAAAACAGGAAAGCCCACGATGCAGCACAGTTCCTTCACCTCCGGGCCGTGCCAGCTGCGGTCATGAGCGCCTGCAGTGCGTGCACTGAGCCGAGGCTCCTGCCCTGAGGTTCCAGGCCGCATGCACGCAATCCTCTGCAATCAGGCTGCTTCTCCAGAGCTCGATGGCCAGGATGGAAACAGTTTCGCCACCGAGGCGGCGTGGAGGCCGCACAGGATTGCGCGCAATTGCTGTGTCTGGGTGAAGTGTTGGCTCAGCCAGGCCCCCGGTGGGGCTGTCAGTGTCCCAGGGGGCTGCGTGCTGCCCAGCACCCTCCCCAGGGCCACTTGCTGCCTGTCTGAGCAGAGGCAGCACCGGCTCCTCTGAGGCCTTTCAAAGGCTGAACTCAGTGACTCCTGGCTGTCACCGGGTTCCCAGGGTTGAGGGGGCAGTCAGTGAGCGTGAGCAGTGCACCCCTCCTGTGCAGCTTGGGGCCAGGGATTCCAACTCAAGTCCTGATCTCTGGTCTGTAAAGGGGTGTCCAGGACTGGCAGGGATTCTGAGAGAGTTCACACACACACCAGGGTTGTGTGTTTTGGGGTCTGCTGTAACAAACACCACAGAAATCCACCCACTCACAGTTCTGGAAGGCCAAGTCCAAAATGGGGGCCACGCTCCCTCTGAAGGCTCTGGGAGGAGCCTCCCACCTTCCCATCTATGGAGGCTCCAGGTGTCCCCTGGCCTGTGGCCGTACATTCCACCTCCACCTCTGTCTCACAGGACTGTCTTCTCTCTGTGTTTCCTTGTGTCTCTGTGCAAATTTCCCACCTCTTCTAAGGACAAAAGCCATCAAATTCAGAGTCCACCCCATCCCAGGATGACGTCACAGAACTTGCTCGAATCTACAGACCCTACAAAGGCTTGCTCACAGGTCCTAGGGGTAAGGACTTGAACTCATCTTCTTCGGGGGGCACAGCTGAATTCCCCACGATTGGCTAAGCAGCAGAACCAATGATCCTTCACTCTGATTACAAACAAATGGCCTAAGCCAAGCATAGTGATGCACGCCTGTAATCCCAGCACTTGGGAGTTGGAGGTAGAAGGACTGATCAAAAGCTCAAGGCCAGCCTGGGCAATGAGGCCCTGTCTCCAGAAAAAAAGAACCCTAACCTAAGGCCTCGGGCTCTGCTGTAACAGGTATGGAGCCATGCACGGAGCTGCCTGGGGAACCCAGCCTCGCTGTCCTATGCACAATGCCATTCAGGCCCCGTGCTGCTCTCCTCCTGGGACTCTGATGTTTTGACTCCTGTCATGCAGAAGTGTCCACATGACCAGCCTCCCCACAAACACCCTGGGCACCAAATCTCAACCACATGTCACCAGATTGTCACGCTCATTGCCTATGTCGCTCCCCTGGGAGAAATCTCCAGAAGCTGGCCCCTGCTCTCCCCAGACTCCACACCACGCTCCTCTGTCCTCTGCTGATTCTGCTCCTGTCCTCTGGCTATGACAAAGCAGGGCTGTGAGCACACCTGTGCGCTGAGTCCTGTGAGCTCCGAGTGACTCACTGATCCTGCACGTGGCCTTGGGGACCCTGATCCTTGCAGACGTCCTGGCAAGCATGGCAGAGATGAGGGGATGAGCTAAGTCCAGAGAGTGACTTCCATGGTGAGGACTCAGGAGCATGGAGAGGGGCACACTGCTGGGCAGAGCTGAATGGTGGTTTCTCCCCAGCAGGCAGGGCAGCCACTGAGAAGCTTCAAGATGGCAAGGGGAGAGACCTTCCCTGGGCACAAAAGCCAGCACACAGCAGGTGCTCTGCCCACGTTAGCTCCCATCTTCCTCAGGTGTAACAATAAAGGTCTTGCCACCACGCCACCCTCCTCCCACCTGGGAGGACAACATGAAGGCCTCAGGCCAGGACTCCCCTCTATTCTCAGAGCTGCCACTGCCTTACTACCACCTTTGCCTCACTATCAGCCAAGATCAAGGTTGCTACCCCTCTGGAGGTGTGGCAGGGGCAGGAGGTGACCTTGGACACTCTTTCCCTGTCTGTGAACCTGTGACCAGCACTGCACAATTAAACTTCACTACGCTTCTGGCCAACAGACCCGGCAGCTTACTCCCCATGAGTCCATCGCAATACAGTGGACACTCACCAGCCTAGGCAGCATGTGCTGTCCCCTGCCCCCAAGACTGCAGAAGCCAGAACACTAAGGGCCAAATTGTGTGTAGCAAGCAGTGGCGCAAAAGCAGGCTCTGCCTTGTAGCTGTCCCCCTACCCAAGGCCGTGGAAAAGGGCCGTCTTCCTGGGACAGCTGGCATGCACGCTTCCAGGTCCCCAAGTCACAGCTACATTGATGTCCACATACTCACAGATCCAACAGCTGCCAGGCCACGTCAGCAGCATCAGGACCACGCATGGCCCTCAGCCCTTCTGATGGGCTGTGAACAAGAGCCTCATTTTCCATGAAATTCTCTCGGCCTGCAAGCCTGGTCTCTTCCACAAACGCAAGAGCCCAGGGCATCACACCTCAGGGATGCTGGGGACTCACACGTGCTCCTCATCCTACAGTGCCCGGGAAATCACAGCTCTCGTGGTTACTTAATGTGCAACTATTAAATGCTGGGTTGGTGGAGTGGCTCAAGTGGTAGAGCACCTGCCTAGCAAGTGTGAGGCCCTGAGTTCAAACCCCAGTGCTGCCAAAAAAAAAAAAAAATCCAAAAACCTAAAATGCTGATTTGTACCCCCAGCCTTCAAATGTACCACCCACCATGGGTACTGAGTCACAGGGTGAGAATCCCCAGAATAAAATGGTACTTAAACCAGGCATGGTGGGTCATGCCTGTAATTCCAGCACTCGGGAGGCTGAGGCAGGAGGATCATGAGTTCAAGGCCAGCCTAGTCTATGTAGTGAGACCCTGTCTCAAACAAAACAACCAACCAAACCCTCCCCCAAAAAACCTCCCCAAACCCCATAGCATCTTGTGTGAATGTCTCCACACCTACCGTCAAGTCCAAGGACATCCAAGAGTTCCATCCAAACTTTCCACAAGGTCTCCATAAACATATCCACTCCCAACACGAACCTCTCCGTCAGCCTGGTCAAAAACTGCAGAAATGAAAAAGACGGTCAGTAGGAAATCAGCTGGGTTCCTAATTGTCATGTGGTGAACCAGAGCGCGGGGATTCACACCTCAACAGAAAAACTGCAAGCTGCCAACAGTCACCCCACACGTGTTCTGGTAGCCAGAGAGTGAACCTGAGATCAGCCTGAGCTGACAGCAGGCCAACTACAGAGCAGAATCTATGCACAACCCCTCCTTCCACAGGTTGAGAGACATCCCCAGGGGTGGTGGGACACCGCAAAGTGACTGCACTGCACTTGCCACTTCTCCTACAGTCCTGCTGGCTCTTGGTCAAGGCCTCTGCTTTCCTCATTTCCAGGCCCCAAGCCTGTTTTACTGGAGGCTGGTTTCCAAGAGAACGACTCTGAAGTGTGAGAAGAGTGGCTCTAAAACTCTAGCAGCAAAGGAACCTCCTGGAACCAGGTAATGACACAGCCCCGCGCCCTGCCCCACTGAAGGACTGGCTCTCTGAGGGCTTCACCTCAGAGAAGCTGGTGGTGGAGAGCCACCCAGCTACAGATTGAGGACAGTGAAGTGCCACGGTGCAACTCACACACATGCATCAAACTGTTCAATGAAGAGCAAATGTTCTGCTAGCTCCTCAGCAGCCTCGTCCCCTTCCCGAGGCACACCCATTAGCAGTCACGATGCCCGTCCCCTAGATGCCCTGTGACAACACGCAGATGGCAGGGTACGCAGCCTTCTGCACTTCTCACATCACTCAACCACAGCCCAGATGGAACGAGACCTGTGGAAGCTGTTCCAAGAAGGGAGAGGGTGGATACAGGAGAAAGATGGAAGGGTGAACTCCCTAAGATATATCGTTAAGTGCTTTTGTAAATGTCACAATGGATCCCTGGCACAACTGTAACATGCTACTAAATTAAAACAAAACCAACAGACAAAAACCCCACCACAGACCATACAAAGCCATCGTTCCTTTTAGAGGGTGTGACACCTGCAGCTGTCCGACCACCTCTGATTGACCGGCTCTGCACATTTCACGTACGCAGAATCCTCCCACACGAGGCCTTTGCGGCTGGCTTCTTTCACTCCAAATAACACCCGAGGTGCTCATCCAGGTCACTGCACAAGCCAATCAGCACTCACCTTTCACTGCAGAATTCCATTTCCAGGACACGTCATAGCTTGTGTATCCTGTTACAATTCTTTTCTCTTTTTCTCTCTCTCTTTTTAGGACTGGGGTTTGAACTCGGCTTCACTCTTGCAAAGCAGGCACTTTGAAAAGTACTGCTTGAGCCACACCTCCAGACCATTTTGCTCTGGTTATTTTGGAAATAGGGTCTCGCAAACTATTTGCCTGGGCTGGCCTCAAACTAGGATCCTTGTGATCTCAGTCTCCCACGTAGCTAGGATTACAGGTGTGAGTCACCAGCACCCAGCTCCAGCTCCAGTTCTTTAAAGTGAGCTGGGCATAGTGATGCACCTCTGTAATCCCAGCAATTGGGAACTAGAAAGAGGAGGAATGCAAATTTTAGGGGCAAGAGACATAACTATTCATGGTAAACCTTGCAGGCCTCAGTTTCCCCAGTTGGGAAATGGTACCAGGAGAGAATCAAGATGAGAACCTCAAGAGGTGTGGCAGCATAGCACCTGGCACACGTCAATTGGCCGATGAGCCAGAGCTGTTGACATTGTCCCTGTCAGATCTGTGAGAAGCAGGCAGGAGCTCCGGGCCAAGACAGAGGCTGGCCCTGGCAACAAACCCAGAGCCACCACCCAGGCCACAAAAGTCTGCAACAAGTGCTCTGAAACCTGCTGCACCTAAGAGATGGGCACACAGGCCCAAGCAGCACGTTCCAGGAAGGCAAGTCCAGGCCAAAGGATCTTTCTCAGGCTGCAAGATTAGCCAGGAGGCAAGGATGCTATGGGGCGGGTTTTGGCCTTCCTCATCCAGCCAGCTGGAGGGCTCCCTGTTCCCTTTGGCCCAGCTCCCGGTGGACAAAGACTCAGGTGGTCAGTAGGGAAGAACATGGGCTCAACTGTGTCTCCCAGAACTCCAGTGTGGAATCTCTGACCACTGCCTCTTCAGAATATGACTCCTGGAGCAGGTCTTTGTTAGAGGTAAGTTCCAAGGAGGCCACCAGGGCCTAAGAGATTAGGACAGAGACACACAGAGGGATGGCCGTCTTCAAGCCCAGATAGGGGTGCTCTGGAGAAAACCCTACCACCACCTTGACCTTGGACTCCCAGAACTAGCAAATGCATTTCCATGTTTACTTCAACCAGTCTGTGAAGCCCGCACAAACGGATGCAGGGGGTGACAGCAAGGCCCAGAGTCTGAAGCAGATCCATCCCCAGATCAGGCCTCCAGACCTGTCAGTTCAGAGGACCCAGGGTAGAGGACAGGGAGACAGGGCAGTGTCAAATGGCCAGTCATTATGGAGATGGAGCACTCTGTGCCACGAGACCCACTTCTCCACCAAATAAAATGTGGTTGAAAGCACAGGAAGGAGGGAGAGTGGCTGAGAAGATGAAACAGCCTGAAAACGGGGACGCATGTATAGGACTACAGTGAGGGGACAGTGACATCCCAGCTCTGTGCACCTCCTCCCAACCATCCATCATCCCAGGCCTAGCCATGAGAAAAATATCAGACAAATCCCAACAGGGAGTCGGGTGTGGTGGTTCATGCCTGTAATCCCAGCACACGGGAGGATGAGGTAGAAGGATCCCAAGTTTGAGGCCAGCTTGGCTACATAGTGAGACCCTGTCTCAAAAGACCAAAACAACAAAATCCCACTGGGCTACAGTCCCTGGCCCATGCTTCTGAAAACTGTCAAGGTCAAGGAAACGAAGGGAGTGTGAGGCACTGCCACAGTCTAAGAAGATGTGACCACTAAAAGTCACATGGGACCTGGGACTGAAGGGGACATTAGGAAAAAACCTAAGAAGCTTAAAGAATGGGCTTCGAGCCGGGCGCCGGTGACTCATGCCTGTAATCCTAGCTACTCAAGAGGCAGAGATCAGGAGGAGAGTGGTTTGAAACCAGCCCCAGGCAAATAGTTCCTGAGACCCTATCTCAAAAAACTCTTCACAAAAGAGGGCTGGTGGAATGGCTCAAGGTGAAGACCCTGAGTTCAAACCCCAGTTCAACAAAAAAATTTTCAAAAAAGAAGAATGGGCTTCAGCTAATGCTCGCTTTTCAGTATTGGTTCATGACATATGAATTGTACCATGTGTATCCACCATGTGAAAAACCAGGTGAGGAGCAAATCTGAACTCCACGCGACATTCCCAGCTGTTCTGAAAACCCTCAAAGTCTGTTAAAAAAAGGAGACTTAAGGACTGGGGTTCAAGTGGTAGACGCCCGCCTAGCAAAGCCCTAAGTTCAAACCCCAGGACCACCAAAAATAAAAATTTAAAAAAAGAGCAGAGTGCACACATGTAGTCCCTGGGGAGATGGAGGCAGGACAATCACAACCAGCCTGGGCCGCCCAGCAAGACCCCACCTCAAAACAGAATTTAAAAAAGACTTAAAAGACATTGATTCGATGCAATGCTAGATTTTATTAGGTTTCTAATTCAAGAGAGTTTATAAAAGACATTGTGAGCCAGGAGAACAGAAAACGGACTTGGCTTAGACAATGGGAATTGTGGTAAGCTGTGAAAACACCATTGTGATTGTGAATCTTACAAAATTTTTATTCATTAAACACAGGGGCAGCTGGGTACCGGTGGCTCATCCTATAATCCCAGCTACTCAGGAGGCAGAGATCAGAAGGCTCGAGGTTTGAAGACAACCCCAGGTAAAAAGTTCATGAAAACCTATCTCAAAAATACCCATGACAAAAAAGGCCTGGTCATGGAACCTTCTCCAAAATAGATCA